TAGTTCAAGGGTGTAATATCCTTCCATTGGAGTTTGAGGAGGCTTCGAAAGCAGTGGTCCTAATATTCGTTCTATCATTTGCTACCTCTGTGTCCAAGACAAGTCAACCCAAATCTGAAATTTTCTTTTTCTCTCTAAAATGGGAGATGATGGTATATCTTCTGTTGCTTTTTCAAGGATTAAATGAGGTCATGAGTGTGAAAATGTAAGGCTAGGTAGAATACTATGATTAAAAAATTTGAATTGGTCTCCTAGCCTGGATCAGAGAAATAAGAGATGTGTGCATTCAAAGTCAGGTTCTGAGTCAGAACTAGAACTAGAGGTACAAACAAGACCAAATCTCTAACCTATGGAGCTGGTGTTCCAGTGGGGAAACAAGCAACAAAGTATAAGTATGTAGTATCACTGCAGGTAGTGATACATCCAGTGATGCAAAGGAAGAGAAAAATGCAACAGACTATGGGGGGGGGGGAGGCTGGGGACAGGGTGGGCCTTCCTATGAGGAAAGGCCTTTCAAAGGAGGGGACAAGGTGAGTCAATTAAAGTGGAGGATGAGCCGGAGCTGAAACATTTCAGGGAGGAATAATAGCAGTAAGCACTTAGGTAAAGCTTGTCTGTGAGGCACTCTTCTAAACACTAAATTTTTACAACCACCTTATGAAGTGAGTACTCATACTCCCATTTTCATAGACGAGGAAATGACACAGGAAGATTAAAAATTTGCTCAAGGTTGCACAACTAAAATGTCATAGAGACTGTTTGAATTTGGGCGGTCTGACCTCAGAGTCCATGCTCCAAGTGTCGTACTGCCTCACAGCTGGAACAGTGGTGGAACAATGCTCTGAGGTGCGAAGGCACAGCGGGGTAACTGTGGAGGACACAGCAAGGAAGGAGGGTAGTGGCAGATGATGCTGGGGGGCCAGGCATCATCTGTCCATCATCATCTCAACACCTTCTGACGGTGGAAACCGTCAGAAGGTTTGTGTCAGGGGAATGGCACCTGATTTCAGTGGTACTGGATGGAGATTTAACCATAGGGTCGTGGAGTAGGGAGCATTGAAGATGGGAAGATAGGAAATCATTGCTGTACTAGGTGGTGGTATCTTGGGCTAAGGGAGGTAGTTGTAGAAATGGTAGGAAGTAGTCAAATTCATGTTATACTTTTGAAGGTAGAGCTGCCGATGTGGACTTAACCAGTGTGAGTTTCTGAAACCTAAAATTCTTAGGTATTGGGCTGGAACTACTGGCAGGTAGTGGTGCTGTTTACTGAGAAGGGTGAAAGGGATTTGAGAAGAAAATCATGAATTCTGTTTTGGACAAAATTCAGATTCGCAGCAGACATCATAGTAGAGTGGTGCTACTACTAATAGCAGTAAGCACGATGTAAGCATATGCTTACATGGATGTAGTAGGCAGGGTTTTAAGCACTTTTACATATAAATTCATTTAATCCTTATAACAGTTGTGTGTAGTATGAATGAATCATTACGCTGTCCATTTACAAATGAGAAAACAGGCACAGAGAGGTTAAAAATGATTTGGTGAAAGTCACCCAGCTTGTGAGTGATGGAGCTGGGATTCAGACCCAAGCAGTCTGGCTTCAGAGTCCATGCAGTTAATCCCTGGAACTACCTCCATGTTGACGTGTTGAGTCGGTGGTGGATATATGAATATAGAACTTGGGAATGGTCAGGACTGGAGACACATTTATATTTCTGAAGAGAAAGACTGTTTGTTCCTCATCTAAGCTTTGGTTGCCAGTGGGGCTGTGCTAACTGGTCTTTCATTACTTCATTCTGTTCATGCAGCCAATATTCAATGTCCCCTTTCCACGAGATTCCACAAGGGTGAGGTCTGTACCTCTGTAACTTCTTTACCACTAGTCCCTAATCCAGTGCCTGCCAGGTAGTAGGTATTAAAAATGACTGTATATGCAGGGCATTTGGTTGGGTTTGGGGAGTTCAGAGATGAATAAAACAGCACTCTTCCTGGAGGAGCTGAGTATGAGGAAAGGCCTGAGGGAATAAAACAAGAGCTGACTAACTGCATAAGTGCATGCTGATTAGTTCATTCTGGCCTTCTGCAGCCCCCTCCACCCAGTATAGTTAAGGAACAGGGCATGAAGGGGTCAAAAAAGAGGCAAAAGAATGCCTAAGCAATCGCAGGATGAATTTGAGGCTTCCTCAGTCCTTCTCAACAAAAGAATTCCTCAAAATCATGCATGTTTTTACTATATTTACATTAGTTTTATTTGGCAGTGATATAATTTTTACCAAATGAAATATATTCAGGTATCTGAATGTCATTGTGGAGTGATGAGTTTTTCCAGTTCTGTTACCTCCGTTGTTGACAGGGCTCACTATTGAAATAAGGGAGTTGGCTTGAAGAGCTGGAGCTTGTCGAATAGAGAGTGATGGAGCTGCTGTGGGAAGTATTTAGGCAGGTTTCCACCCATCTTTCACACCTAAGTTCCACCTAATGAAATAAGTTTGAGTTTCTCTGTTGATCATCTCTTCAACACTGAGATATATTTTTGGCCATAGAAAGGGGATCTGGTGCTATATGTCAGGTGGAATTATCGATTATATCTTTACACGTGGAACATTGTAGATTGTACAAACTAGAACAATACACACAAAACTAAGTATCTTATTTCTGTGTATCTTTTTCAGGGCATACTTACCGTGATTCATTTATCTCAATTTCATTGCTTCCTAACATGAGTATTTCAAGATTGAGCCATTAAAAGATGAGATAAAATTATACTATACTGGATTTTATGGTTAAATTTAGAGTTTTTTTTCTTACAGTATACAAAATTTTTTGTTTAGCTTTTTTAGCTTTCAGTGAGACAGTTGATCTGATAACCAAATCCACCAGCAACCCTAAATAGGAACCTTCCACAAATACATGTAGATGATGTGCCATGTCATTTTGCAGTTCACAGACTTTTAAATCGACTACTGTAGCTTCCCTAAAGTGAATGGAGTTGAAATGATTAGTCTTTCTGTGTGTCGCAACTGCAGTTAGCTTCCTTGAGCACATTAAATCTGGTATAAAGTAGAATTTCGTCTTACATGGCCCATTGATTGCTCAGGCTTGGTCCCTTTGTAAGTTCAGGCTCAGCGAGGGCAGGTTGGTGGCTGCCTCCCTGTGTCAGTGCCAGCAGAGCAGGAATGATGGGAAGTCCTAGCTGAAGACCACAGAAGCCACTCTTTCTAACACTGACCCATATGAAATATAGAATCACTTGAAATAGGAAAGATAACTTGTAAAATCCAAATTCCTTTTAAAATTTATTTTACATAAACAAATTTAAAAACTACTACCTTATGTGAAGAGTACAAATGTAATGGACGGAAACTGTTTCTTGTGGAAAACCAGGAGTCCGGCCCACTGATGGCACAGTTTGTAAAGTTCTACTTCTTGTGGTTTCTTTTACTTTTGTGTATTATCTTTCAAGTCTTATATGTGTACATATATATCATATATTGTGATATGTATATATCATATACATATATATCATATCATATGATATATGATATATCATATATCATATCAGTAATAGATGAATGCTAGTTTGTGTATTTTTCCTTAACATTTTAAAATATATTTAATTTAAATGGATAAATAGCACTTAATTTTGATTCATTTCATATTTGACAGCTTAGAATTTAAAATTTTGAGAATTGATTTTCTTTTGACCACGTAGGTGGAAATTAAACTTTAGTGACATATTAACAAAGTTGTTTCCGCAAAAGAATACCCAAAAAGAAAATTCTTAGAGTGGATTAAGCAAAAACAGCATGCTGATAGAAGAAATAATTTAGCTATAATTCCCTACTCTATCTTTAATTCTTAAGCTGTTACTAACCTACAGGCAGCATTGTTTCATTGGGTTTTATATCGCAAAACTGCATTCTAAGTCACCAAGCTATAGAGAGAAAAATTCGAGATAGATATTGGAATATAGTACCGGGAGAGAGCTCAGTGGATCTTAACTGGGAGTGATTTGTCCCTTCCCCCGACTTGCCCTGGGGACATTTGGAAAGGACTGGCCACAGTTTGTCACAACTGTGTGTGGGGCACTGCTCCTGGTCGGTGGGCGCCAGGGGTGCTCCTAAATATCCTACAATGCACAGAACGACCCCAACAGAAAGAGCGATCTAATTCAACATGTTATTCCACGGGTGCTGAGAAGCCCTGCAATATGTAACTCCCTCCCCTCTTCCCCGAGTTAGAAATTGAGGTGGTGGTTTTAAATAGCAAACACTGACTCAAATAAAAGATTGTGTTGAACTGTTTCTAGTTTGTTGGAGAGCTGAGCTAATTTGGTTCACTTACTGCCTGGAAAATAATTTTTGTAGGTAACAGCCTTGAATATTTTTGGTTACCAGCGTGTCTAGTTCTTTGTTTTTGACTGTGATTTTTTTCTTAGTACAATTAATTTAATTTGGACATTATATAATCCTGGGTTATAATAGGTTTGTTAGTCTGAATCTCCTGCATTTTTGTACATATTGAATTATTTTATAGTTACATGGTTTATATATCTCAAAATACTTTTCACATTAAGTTTCATATGTGATATACCCTATGAAGTGTATAGGGCATGCATTATCCTCATTATTTGACAGATGAGGAAACAAACTTAGATCAAATGACTTGCCATGTGTATGACAGTAAGTTAGTGACAAAAACTAATCTAGGACTCAGAGGTCTGGATGCTTAGAGCATTTTTAAAGCTACCAGTTACTACTATCTCATTTAGTCTTCCTGACAGTCCTGTGAAATGGCTTACTATTTTTATTTTATTGATGAGGAAACTGGTTTGGAGATGTTCGGTAACTCACTCAGGGCTTCCCAGCTCAAAGTGTAGTTTTGACTGTTTTCTCTAAGCCTGTGCTGCTTCTCTGGTTAGTCTTCTCTAATAAATAAATTTGACAGTTTCTGGATAAAGTCACCCGATCTGCCTAACCTAATAGGTCTCTTGATTCTTTGGGTCACTGGCTGGGCCTCAGAGTTAAACTGATATAACACAGATTAACAGGAGACAAATACACATTTTGTCGAACTTTTACACGGATGTGGTAGCTTTCACAAGAGAATGAAGTCTCGAAAAAGTGATTAGAGCGGGACGCTTTTATACATTTTAGCAAAGGAACAGTAAATTTGTGAAAATTGAAAACACAGAGGGGTTGGAGCTAGAGGTAGTGTGTGGCGAAGGGACTAGGAAGATAAGGGTTAGGCTTTGTTTGTGCAAATTTCTCTTTGATTCCCAGCATCTGGTGGTAATGTCTTCCTTCCTCCTGGTACAGGGAGGGTACATTTGACATGGAAGTTTTGCCTCTTGCTTTCAGGACGAAAAAAGGAGAGTCAGAGTATCCTTGCACCTGCTATTTCTTAAGTGCCCTTAATTCTAACAAGCAGCGTCAGAATGGCATGTTTTGGGGAGACACTGGGTTCCCGTCACACTTCATATTGTCACGTGATTCCATTGATAACTCACTTTCTGTAATACTACCGTGGTTAGACTTGAGTAGCAACTTCACTGAGTTTTGATAAGTTATAATACTACTTGCTATTTCAAATGTAGTTTTTGAGAACACCAAGTCCAAAAATAGTGCAGAGATGGCTGTTGGCTGTATTTGAGTATACATACTTGGGTGAGGCCCACCCCCCCACCCTGCCCCAGCATGATTCACTTGGCCAGGCTGATAGAGGGATTTATATTTGGGTGAGACTCCCATTTCTAATTTGAATCTATATTACTCTCTTTAGCCATCTTTCATGTCAATTTTGAGGCTGCCTCTCTTAGTTTTTATCCATGCCGATGTAAACCTCAGACTGACTTGGGTTGAAGAACAAATAAAATCATAACATAATGATTGATTTTTATTTTCTTTTGTGAAACATTTAGAATTCATCTCTAAGTGAGTGCATCATTTTTGTGAGGTGGTAGGAGTTGGTAATTGTCACTTTATTTTCTATGTCGGAAAATTTAAAAAGAGACTGTCAGTACCAGAAGTAAATCGATTTCAAAGATAGGATTTAGAATTTAGAATTTCAGATGTTACAGAACTAAGCCACACTGTCATTTTCATTAGACCAAAAAGAATACCTACTTAAACATTTGATTCATTATTATTTTGTTCAAAGATATTTCATGATATTCCATTCTTGATGCAGTTGGAAATTTTAGTGTTTCATGTAATGCGTCTGTTGCCTGGATTTGGACCACTGATAGTATGAGATTGTGGGTCTGGGGTTGAGAGGGGAAGGAAAGAGACCCTTTGTTAGTGCATTGGTGATCGGGCAAGAAGGATTATAATTAGACTTAAAAGGTGAAGATTCCAAACTTTCTATAAAACTGAATTATTGTAACAATTTTTTTACCTCTGTGAACCAAAAATATCTAGGTTGTAATAAAAAGCCTTTATCTGAGCATAGTACTATAATCTGAGAGACACTAATGCAAATAACAACCCCAGCTGAACTCTGGAGAGAGCAAAAAAAGGAGGGTTTATAAAGGCAAAAACTATAAACTGCAACAACTTGGCTACCTAACATGGTGTGACTGGTTCAAAGAGGATTGGTGAGATCCAGGTAATGAAACTCTCAGGTAAGCTGACATGGTTCTTGATTGACATGGAAACCAGGTGGGGCAAGTTCCAGGACATACTTCTGAGGCAAGTGCCAAAGTTCAAATGTCTAAAACTCATCTGTGTTGTGCATGTGGGTAAGTAGGACTTCCCTGATGACCTCTTGACTCCATTTGAGGACCCCAAAATGGATATTAGTTGTCCGTTTTAGATATTTTGGTTCACAACTCCATGAAGAAACATGCTAATACCCAAGAAGCCATAATATTCATTGTGGTTACTGAGGGAAGAGTGCACTACTCAAGTGCAGCTGAAACAAAGCTGAATTTCATACTTGTTCAACAAGGAGAACTATACTTGCCAAATATAACCTCCCAGATAGGCAGAGATGCACTTAGACAGGGTTCTGAGGTTTAGGACTGGCTTTTTTTCAAAGGTGAGACAATTTAAGGATTGGCCAATTTTAAACTTGGAAGGGACTGGCCTGCCTTGAGGAGCAATGGTACTGAAGGGGGACACTTCCTAACTGGCTGATTTTCTTAGCCGTGTACTTCAGTGGAAAGGCTGAGTAGAATTTAAAGATTGATTGATTAGGGTATACTTAAAATCAGTTCTTTGATTATTTGTTCCCGGCTTGGGACAAGAGCCAAAGAATAGTCTTTTCCTTTATTGAAGTTGGAGGTCCTTTTTGTTTTCCACATTAATGTCAAACATTGATGTTGGCAACTGTGCTAATATAATACATTTGGTTTTGCTTTGCTTATGAAATAAAACAAAAAAATGAATAAGTGAAGTGAATGTCATTTGCTGTCTGTCAGTTTCAGGATTATATAATTTTGGACCCAGGTTGTGTCAAGCATTATTTTTATATGTAGTTAAAAAGGTAGTAGCATTATTTATGGAAATTTAATGTGTTAAACATTATGGTGAAAGCTGTGTTACTTTTATGTCTATTTTCTTTCTTGTGGGAGCGTCATATCACATGCCCGTCAAAATTCGAATTATAGACCTAAAAGTTTGGGGGTTTTTGCTTTTAGAGAAACATCTGGAAACATATGGAAGTGGTTACTTTTTGAAAGTTAGCTAGCAGGTATTGTTATCAACATTTTAGAAAGTTTAATGATTATATTGCACGTCTTTTATATAAGGTAGGCTGAATCACATTAGTGTCTGTGAGTCATTTTAACACAGTTGTTACATCATAATACCATTATACAAAGTATCTTGGTTTAATGTTTATTTTAGAATACTTTATTCTTCATGATAAAATAACTTGTTTATGACTGTTTACCAGAACTGTAACAAAATAGGTATTTTTCTAAATTAATCTCTTGCAGTAATATTTTCCTATGAAGGTGTTAATAAGTTCAGAGGGCATTCTTTATCTTTGAAGTTACAGAAGTCAAAATAAGTTTCTGGTATACTTTATTTTTTGTATTGAGGTATCGTTTAAAATACAATACACACGGACTATTTCCATTTGAAACAAGCTGATACTTTTTAAAGAATGGGTGCTGTCCTGTTTATATGCAGCCCTACTTCCTTTTTGTGTCTTAATCTCTCTGCCTTCCAGATAGGTGTTATCCAGTGATAAAGCTTACTAGTTATTTAGGTAAAGCATTTTTATTTAAAAGCTCTTTGAAAATGTGAACCCCCCCCCAAAAAAAAGAAAATGTGAAACCCAATTCTTGTTTCTGTTTGCATTCTTTGATAGTTAACCTTAAGAGGTTACTCTAAACGCAGTATTAAAATTAATATAATGATACATTTATTTAAAAACCTGTTTACTAAACAATACTCAAATGTTTTTTATCCTCAAGACCTAAATTTTATAAATTTATACTTAAATAGGTATTTAAGTTTTCTAGGAAAAAGTTACTGGTATCTTTGATGCCTGAATATGATTAATGACATCACGTCTGTTTTATCTACAGTATGGAAAAAGGGATTTGAAATGTGTTTTTCTCTGTACATATGCAGTGAATAGTTGGGCTTTTATTGCCTAGTGATCTGATCAAAAAAGAATCTTAGGTTGGTGATCTTTTGTAGTAAAGTGGAAGAAACAAGGATTTTTTTGCTCTTCCATAAAAGCCTTAATTCCTAGTGGTATACCATATATTAGCAAAGACAATGATATACCATAGTTATTTTTTCTTTTCATTTTTTAAAATTCATAGGGGAAGAGAGAGAGAAAGATTGTCTTGTTGTTTCACTTATTCATGCACCGATTGGTTGATTCCTCTCTGTGCCCTGACTGGGATTGAACCCACAACCTTGGTATGTGGTGTATTGGGATGATGCTCTAACCAGCTGAGCTACCCCACCAAGGCAGTAGCTAATAGTTTTAATTTGCATCTTTGATGACTAGTGAGGCTGGGCTTCTCTTGTCAGCCACATGGGTACAGTATACCAGTTTGTACCTCCAGGGGAGTGGTTGGAATGACTGCTGAAAGCAATGGGCTGCTCCTTGCTGCTTTAGCGAGGAACTATAAGAGGGTGTCAAATAAGGGAATGGTTTGCAGTTAGCAGTTTACAGTTAGAATTGGAAGGGAGTATAGTTTTATTAAAGGAGATTCCCTGTATTATCGCCTATGCTCAGAATTGACTGAAAGAGCAGTAATATGGGGTATTGCAGGGTTGGAAAAAAGTTGCTTCTATCCCAAACAGTAAGAGGTAAAGTTTGTTCTCAGAACCTTGCATTAGATTTTCTTGGCCAGACAGTGGAAGTCAGTTCAGGCAAGGATCAAATGAAGGATTTACCTTCCCACTTGAACCAGTCAGTTAAAGCTCTAGTTACAAAGTCTCAGTTCCTCACAACAACCGGTTTATTTCCTACTCATGACGTGTCTGTGACTCTGTTCCACATGCTGGGTTACTCTAAGATGAAAGAACGGGCTTTTCAGGGATATCACTATTTTGTGGAAGAAGGAAAAAGAAAATGGCAGAACCAGGTGTTTGGAAGTGGCATGTGTTACTTCTGTTCATATTTTATTGGCCCAAGCAAATCAAGTGGCCGAGCCTGAAATCGCTCAGGTAGGAAGGAATACCTCAAGCCACATGGCATGCCCTGGTGTAACTGGGGTGTGATGGTAAACCCTTCCATCGTGAGTCGGACCTCAGCGTGAACTAAACTGAGAGAGAGATGGATCTGCCACAGGCCAGCAAATAGGGGACGTGAGGAGTTTGATACCTACGAGCAGACCGAATATTCAGTTGTGGTTCCCTTCACGTGGTACTGACTGAGGACAAACAGCATGTTGAACTTTTGAGAGGATTATGTTGTCAAAGATGCTACAAGTTTTCCTTGAAAAGCCTGTGGTAGTTTGACATTGTCTCTTAAAGCAACGCTGACCCTCAAGTTTGTATCAGCATTTTGCTGCCTCCTTGGAGCACATATTTCTCCCATGTCCACTTCATATAGGACCAGAAAGGAAAATGGAAAAATAGAATCTTCCAGAGGCAAAGCCAGGTTCCAGCAGACAAATTGGCAAAGGAGACCCCCTGAGAAAACAAAAGTAAGTTTCACCAAGGGACTTGCTGTCCTGGTACAATAAGATTTCATCCTGGGTAAGAACATATATTTACCATTCTTTTCAGAATGGAAGACTTAGTTGCATTCATCTTATTTGCATTCCATTGTACAGTGGCTGTGAATGTGGTGGTGGGCAACAAAGGTTACTTATCTGTAGGTCACTGGACCGGGCTGGAGTCACGTTGATCTCTGTTGAAGGGATTGTGCATCAGTCCCCCGAGAGATCGTAGACTTTGAGCTGATGGACGTTGAGCTGAATTCAGTAACAGGATGGGGCTTTCGGGTCATAACTTTAGAAGGGAGGTGACTGTTCCAGAATGGGAAGGGTGCACCGGCACCTCTGATATTTAGTGAGGTTCAGAGCCCCTACATAGAAACTATTTCTTAGGCTCCTTGTAGCCAGGTAAGGCCACATGTGTAAGTTTTGGCCAGTGGATGGGAGAGGAAGTGATGTCTGTAACTTTTAAACCATATTTGTATTAAAAACCTGCTTGTCATGTTCTTTTCCATTTATCCCCATGGATGAGGTATTGGCGAGCCAGCTTCTGTCATCCGACGAGGGCAGTGCCCCCAGGTGGCAGTGGGACAGGAAAGAAGGAACCTTTTGTTCCTGGACGGAGGAGAGTTCTCCCCGTTCCCGGGACCAGTCGTCTCGCCCTGGACTGTTTGTTACATTAGAGAGGAGTAAACTCCCACCTGCGTGAGTCACTGTATTCTCGGTTTTGTTACAGCAGAATAGCCTCTACCCTAGTTAATATGAATGGCGATGATGTAAGCAGGAAACAAAGGGAAAGATTTATTTCTATTATTTTTCTTGGTTGAAGCTTTTGATGTACATAATCTGTGTGTGAAAATTTTTTAAATCGTCTAACAAAGAGTTCAAAAATAAGCTCTTTTACTTGAACATCTCTCCTATTATGATTATGATATATTCCTTTTTATTTCATATGCATATTTTTACATATACATAAAACTTTGTATCCTGATATTTTCATGCGATATCCATTTTCTTTGTCACTTTAGAGTTCTCATAGTTGCACAGTTATTGTTACATAATACTCAGGTTTACCAATGGTTAAAATATTGTTGACTCCTGTGGACTGACTGATGCCCTCCCAAATTCACGTTGAAGACTTCCCCTTGCGATGCCTGTGTTGGGGACAGGGCATTTAGAGAGGGGTTTGAGGCGAAATGGGGCTGGAAGCGTGGAGCCCTGATGGTACAGAAGAGGAGGAGACACAGGAGGCCTCTTCCGTGCGACGGACGGCACAGTGAGAACACGGCTGCCTGCAGCCCAGGAAGAGGGTTTCCACCGGGACCAGACCGGGCTGGCTCCCTGCTCTTGGGCTTCCAGCCTCCAGAACTGTGACAAAACAAATTTCTTTAAGTTACCCAGTCGTGTCCTTTGCTGTAGCAGCCCCAGCTAACTATGATAGTACCCATGCTTTTAACTGCTATACCTATAGACAGAGGCCTTTCCCAGATCAGAGTCAAGAGCAAATAGACTGTGAAGAGATGTCCAAAAAATACACCACCAAGAACCAATGTTATTGAAGCCAAGAGATGAGGATTTTAAAATCAGGGTTGTGAATAATAAATTGATGGGTGTAGTAAATTCTGACTGAATTTTAGTTAAGAAGTCCCCTGTGTTTTGGAGAGAGCAGTTTTGTGTTTGCAGATAAAAAATTAGCTTGCAGAGGGTTACTTGAACTGGGGAGGCGGGCAGAGTGGTAAAAATGAGAGTTTAGACTGCCTTTGAGGACACTTGGCTGCAAAGAGAAAGGGGCTAATGGGATAGTGCAAGGTTTGGGGAAGTATATTGGTTTTGTTGTTCATTCATTTATTTGGTTTATGATGGGAGAGATTTAAGCACTTATGCTGTGGGAAAACAGCCAGAAGAGAAGTGAGTATGTGGAGGGAAGGTGGATGAATGATGGCATAAGAGCCCTAAGGAGGGCGCTGGGTGGCTTCAGTTCAGGGGCTGCAGCTGAGGGCGAGCTGTGGGTGTAAAGAGTGACATCCTTCCTTCACACAGCCAGGAACAAGGTTTGAGTGGGCATATGGTTGTTGGTCATTGGGGTGGAGGAAACTGAGGGAGTTTGACCTAATAACCTTTTGGTTGTTTCCGTGGAGATGATGTCATTTGCTGAGTGGAGTGGAGAGTTGGAAGCTTGAGAAAAGTGATGGAAGTTTGGAACTGCATCTGCGGGCTGTGGAACAAAGCTGATTGGGAGCCCCCAGAAGACTGGTGGGCAGCAGGGAGCAAAGGCCTGCTGAGATGGGGGACCCTGTGTTTGCCGAGTCCACAGTCTGTATGGTCGGGCCTTTTATAGTGATTATCTTTAGATGGGTGGGGGTTGGGGGTGAAGAAGTAGATCCTTAGGTTGGTTTAAGGAAAGGACAGGCTGACAGAGCAGTTGAGAGTTTAGGCAAGGGAATGGGCATAGCTGGGTGATAACATTGTAGGTTACAGTAGACAAGACGTGAAGCTTGGGGCATGGTTGATGGGTCAGGGCAAAAAGTACAGAGGACTTTGGGGGAAAACTGAGTGCCTAAACATATTTAAGATCAAGCATGATATATTCTTTCAATAGATATTGAGCATTTATGTTCCAGGTGCTATTCTAGGTGATATGGTGACCTACATCAAAACAGTGATCAACACGAAGTCCTACACTGGTTGATTTTGCTTTTAGTGGGAGGTGGACAACATATAGATGTAGATATAGGGGTGTGTGTGTGTGTGGTTTCAGATTGTAAGGAAATGTTAAAAGGAGGAAAAGTGAAGAGTTAGAGAGCGAGGCACCTGCTGTTTGAGGTACTCTGACCAGGAGGAGGCCCTTGGAAGAGGTGCCCTCTGAGCGGAGTCTGGAGCAGTGAGGACTCAGCGGTGCACGGGGCAAGGAGGCTGCGGGGCAGGCGGGGCCTGGCCGGGAGCTTGCTCGGGGAGCGGCCAGGGCGAGGAGGAGAGTGGTGATTAACGAGAGGTATGATTATGTTAGGGCTACCATAAAAATTTAGGTTTTCTTCAAGTGCCATGGGAAAGCCATTGGAAGGTTTGAATCAGAGGAGTGAGTCTTACTTTTCTGGTGGTTCAGATGTTTTGTAGAAAATTGATTGGCAACGGGCCTTAAGGATTCTAGACAGTGAGAAGCTTAAGAGACGGTGGCCCCAAAATAGCAAGTTACAGTTTAAGATTTAAGCAGTCGAGTGCTTCTGGGTGAAGGATCCCTTTGCTGTTCCTTTAAGCAGACGCACCCACTCCACAATAGGCATTCTTTTCTGTGGATAAAGGCCTGACCCCGACCCTTGGCTTATACCGCACCCTTTCCTGTTTTTGACTCTGCTCCTCACCGGCTTCATTATTCATTCTCCCATTTGTCCTCACCTTGTCTTTCAGATCTGATGGACATTGTTGTCTGCCTGGCCAAGACTTCCTCTAGATTTAGGTTTTCGGCCCCTTTCTCTGAAGTCAGAGCACAGTCTTCAGAAAATCAATATGAGAGTCCAGTATATAAGACAGGTGAAAGTGAGGGAATCCTAAGACAGCAGTACAATGCTCTGCCCACTTACAGCTGTTCTGGACCCCACAAAGCAACCCAGGACACCTGCAGAGAACCCCTAGCCTCACAGTGCACAGCGTGGAGAAGCCCTGCATTGAGCTGTGAGCCGCCTTCCTGCACCTGCCTGTCCCAGGGGTCACGTCTGGTCATGTCCTCCCTGCTCAGCCTGTGCCTTCTTCATCCTGAAGCATCTGGCTGGCTAGACGCAGCGTGTACACCCTCCAGTGACGAAGGAGGGTGCCGAGGGCACTCAGAGCCACGGGGCGGGCGTGCTGCCTCCTTCCCGAGTGTTCCTTTACTTGCTGTTTGTTATTTAATTTACTAAATTTGTACCATTTAAGTTAATGTAGTTCCAGTTATAAGCCATGCATTTTATTTGTCCTTCTCAACAAATTTTTATAATGACCCAAATTAAGAATGTCAGATGTTCTTTGTAAGAAGCTGGATGTATTATAGTTGAGAATGTAACATTTGTGTAAATTCTTTAAGGAGAAAGAAAACCAAGACCAGGAAATTTAAAGTTTGCCTGGGCCACTTAGAGCTCCAGTCTCCTGGGGATTGTTTACTTCTTCTGCTTTGCATTAGGAATACTTTGATAGAAAAGGTTAGAACTACCTTTTTAAGTTTTTAGATTTGTAATTCTGTATTTTTGTTTTGGTGTTTAATGGAGATACTATAATATCTTTCTTCAGCATAGGGTAAGAATGGGCCATGATATAGACTCTGAACCTCCATATTTTTGGGTTAAAGGTAAATATGAGTTATCTTCCTTTTGTCAAAGTTGCATTTTGACAAATATTAAAGTAAGCATTGTTGCATTATGAAAAGGGTTAATAAGAACCAAGTGTTGGCAAACTGAAGCCAATACTCAGAACATGGTTTCACTGGACCACAAAATAAGTTTGACGCTTTGAATTAAAAATAAAAAAGAATATCACTTGCATTAGGATCTGTAATGTTCTTCTGAGTTGAGGGTGAATCTTTTAACATTATAAAAAATTTTTTGTTTGGACTGTTTGACATTAATAAAGTGATTTAGAGTTAGGGGTTTTCCACAACTCTGCTTAAATTGTAAGACTAATGAGGACAAGGGTCATGTTCATCGATGCATCCTGAGCTAGGAGTGGCACACAGCTGGCCACACACACTTAACTATTTTTCCAGTGAATAAATGCATCATCTTTGATATAGCCGTGGAAATAATACAGACAGCATTTGGGTTGGTTGGGTCCTCAGTGAAGGGGACTTCCTGAGTGTTCTGATAGCACAATGTAGCTATCAATATATGACCTTTAAATGAATAAAAACAGGAGCACAGCTGTACTCTTTCTTTTGAGTCTGTCAGCTGTCGAGTCCGTTAGATCATAAGACAGGCCAGCTCTGTCTGTGAAGTGGGGATGGCGGCACAGTCCGGTGTGAT